GGCCTGAACGGTGACAGTGTGTGGGGAACCCCTGTTGTTACTTGAAAATCTCTCTTCTCTTGCTGCTGCTTCTAGAGGGAAGCCTGGTTGAGCAGAATTCTGCTACAGCGCAGAGTTCTTCGATGTCAGATGTGTAGACTGAAGACCTAGGAAAGTTAGTTTTTGCTTTATTTGTTGCTATAAGAATCTAACATGATCACAGAACCCAAGGAACTGTAAATGTAATAGAAACTTTCACAACATTCCCCACCAAGACGGGGCAAATGCGGGCACCGTCTGCGGGCTCCTTGCCCAACCGCGTGTCTGGGTGATTCTGGGCCAAGCTCTGTGATGGAAGCTGTGGGCTCCGAGAGCGTGGAGCTGAGGAGCTCAGAATCGGGGGAGCCCAGGGGCTCGACGGCCGCTTCTCAAGTCCCAGCAGTGCGGACTCATCAGCTGTACTTGTGGCTGTGACCTCAGCCCCCAGGACGGCTCCTGCTTCTAGTCTCAGCCTCCCCTCCCTCTCCCTTGAAAACCTTGAGGGCCTCCCAATCGTCTCTAGGGCGAGACCTGACCGCTCGCAGCCTAACAGGACCCCTGGACCTGGCCCTCCCCTGCCAGTCCCTCAGGCTCACCGCCAGCCCCTGACTTCATCATGCTCTGCATCGAGGCTTCTGGAATGCCAACTTCTAGGCCACCCTCAAGCTCCCAGCCTTCTCTGCCTCCCCAGGCCGGGCTGTCCGCTTACTGTGCACAGGACGACGCTCTGTACGCCCTCTCGGGATCTCACTCCGCCTGGCTGAAAACCACTGACTGGGGGCGGGGGTCCGGGGCCCCTACCGTTTAATTCACCTGGGTTCCGTGGGTCAGGACTTCCAACGCAGCTTAGCTCAACGGTTCTGATTCTGGGATTCTCTAAGGGTTGCAAGTGAAGGCGTCGGCTGGGGCTGCACCATCGGAGGCTTGATCGGGGCTGGAGGACCCACTTCCAAGACGGCGCACTCACTGCCCACGTTGGTGTGGCCGGCTGTTGGCAGGAGGTCTCAGCTTCTCCCTGCGGGGACCTTGCCCCATAGAGATCCTTGAGTGTCTTCACAGCATGGTGGCCGGCCTCGCCCAGAACAAGTGATCTGGTCACACATCATCATTCCTCTGACATCCAACTGGGTACACAGGCCAGCCCTATTCACCGTAGGAGGGGCTCCCTAGGTACGTGACCACGCAGAGGGAACAGTATATTCCATGTCTGGGAGGGTTCAATTAAAGAAGCAGAACCACTATATAAAAAAATAAGGTATCGGCCGCAAGGACTTGGGTTTACGCAGCTGTGGGAGCGGTTAATCAGACATCTGCACGTCTGATGCTGAAGCCTGAAGTGCCAGGCAGGCAGGCAGGAAAGGGAGATGCACGTGAAAGAGCTGGAGCCCAAGAAAGCTCCCTCGCCCCTTCCACCACGTGAGGGGACAGTGGGGAGACGCCGACTCGGCCAGAGCCACGATCGTGGACTTCCAGCCTCCGAACCTGTGAGAAATAAATTGCTGTTTCTAAGCCACCCAGCCTCTGAGGTTGTGTTACAGCAGCTCACACAGGCTAAGACAGAAATCCACCATGATTTTTAGCCTCTTCCTCTCCAGAACTTCAGGGATTGGTCTGAAATTTTAGAACTAACTGGGGAAAAGAACCAGCAGAGAACTCAAATTCCAACTATGGTTTCTGGGTAAAGAAAGTGAAGCCCCCAGAGGCTGTGTATTGTCCACAGCACAGGGCAAAGGCAGAGCAAAGGCTGACCCCCCGCCTCGTTCCCGTGGACGCCGACTCCCTGCCTGGCCCTGTTTCCATGGCTCCGTGGCCAGCCCGGCATGAGGTCCTGCGTGTCCTGATTCACTTTTGATCTTCTTAGACTCCACAGGCAGCCCTCTGCCTCCTTGTCCCCACTGCCGCCATCAGGAGTCACTAGCGCTGTTTCCAGCTCTCCTGCCCAGCCCCGCTGCTCTGCCCTCGGGAACCCCTTCCTGAACAAAAACACAGACGCCCACATGGCTTCTGGTGGCAGGCCTCACCCTGTCCAAGGCGCCTGCAGCAGACAAGGTACTGAGGACAACAGATGCAACCCCGATGAGCCCCAGGGCTGCTCCTCTTTCCTCCTGACCCTTAGGGGCCTTGCCTCAAGGCTGGCTGCCCAACAGAATCACTTAAGAGAGCATTTAAGCTTAAGTATAAGTTTTAAAAAGGCAGCCAAGTACTTGCCCAGATCCATTAAATCAGAAATTCTAGGGTAGCGCCCAGGAGTGGCAATTTTTCCAAAGTTCCCCAGGTGACTCCAAAGTGCACCATTCAGGTTGAAAACTATGAATTCTATTTGTAGCAAGGCTGCTTCAGAACACAAGTGACAGTGTCAGCTGAGCCTGAGCGGCGAGGAGCGCCGGCACCAAGCCTGCTCCCGTGGCTCCAAGCACCGTCCATCTCTGGGCACCATTTACGCCATTTGACTTGGCACATGCCTTCTGTACAGGACAGGGTGACAATAACTCAGGTCCTCTTAAGAGTTATGGAGGGACCCACTGCGTACAGAAACTGCCTTAATGGTGCTGCACAACACTGTAAATTCTATTTAAGCTGATGCTAAATTTTAGTTTCCTCCCTGAATTATTTATTCCTC